TTTTTTTGTTCAATACATTTTCCATTTGAATACAGTTTGAGTTACTATAATTATGCTAATACATTCGTAGGTGTTAAGATGAAGGCCAGTTTACACAACTGTTCACAGTAAAAACAATTTTTTATTCAACGCGATTCTCCTTAGTTACTTAACATTTTAGGGACTGTCGAAGCCTTTTTCTACAGAATATAAAACTGCTGACCACAATGTTAGCTTACGCTGCGTAGTTTTATATATGCGAAGCAAACACATCTGATGTCAGTTTTAGAAGTCGCGGTTACCACAGGTATTTACGTCACTGAACATTTGTTTAAAAAAAATTGTCGTAAATTTGACAGAAATCTTATTCCCTGGTGGAATAAATGCAGCACAGTAATTTGGACACACACTTTCCGGTTCGTTTAATCTCTGTTTTTTTTTCCAAAATAGATTCTACTCATTCCACTGCGCATTCAGATGTCGGCCTCAGTAGAAAGTAAGACCTTTACACCTAATGTATTGAGATTTGCGTGTTACGTATTGCAGTGTATGAATATTGACCGGATGTTTTTAGCTCGAAGAAGTACAGGAAACTGAATGTCATGAAAACTGTGTTAGAAGAGTGCCATGTCAAGAATTATTACTCTATCTGATATGCAATTACACCGACATCATTAAGTGCGAATAAAATTGCTTACGTCTTGTGGGATGCAATTTGCTGAGGTTATGAAAGTTTATGTATCTTGCATAATTTTATATCCGGAAGACGTGTGCTATTTCATTGGCAAGCAGAGTTTATGTCCCAATAGGAGTGAAGCGAACTGTGTAGATCGGTATGAGAATTGTAATAAGGAGGTCCGTGGATCAATTCCAGTCACTTGGTGTTAACACACATCACCAAGCTCCTGTTATTTTGTGAGATAACCAAGTAACGTTTGAGGATGGATGTCTTCTGGGCTGTAGCGCCGCGTAGTCAGGTAGAAGTTGACCACGGTTTAAGAGGTCCTTGCTGCCTCCATCTGCCAGTATGCACGGCGTTAAAACCCATAAGACAAGACGTTATGGAAATGAAAATAAATCGGTCCTAGTTTCCATAAAATTAAACAAATGAATTGTCTTAGAAAGTAATTCTGTCAGAGAAACAGACGAAATGCCTAGCATTGCCGGTTATAAAGCTATGAAATTCACCTTTTTTGTTGCTTAATGCAGACTTGAAGTACTCGGGCTGAGTTAACTATAGAGAAACAAAGAACAATGGTTCCTAGCCTTGTCACGGTTAGTTGTGTCACAACGTGACGTGGCTACAAACTTAGAATTGCTCTTCAAAGGAGGAGATTGTAAGTTTAATGGTTTGATTTAGACAAAATTCTTACACGATTTTCTATTAAGCGTCGCTGCAACATAACAGTGATGATTTGTTTCGTTAATATTGTTACATTTCTCGTATTACCGATTTACAGTTAGCTTTTACGAATTTAGTTTTATTGGAATTTTTAAACTTTTTATAATTTTGCGGGATTTTTAAACACGCGTTCCATAATAGGCGGCGGGGAACTTTTAGACCATCTGAGCGTACTATTAGGTTCTCAAGGACTGTGCTTCAAGGAGTTAGTTAAAATACGACAGTTACATACAGGTCTGAGTGTGCAAATTATCCGAAATGCCAGCTGACTGACAGACTGGTCCTTTAGCAGCTGCTCATAATATAAGAAACTCAAAACCTTGATTATTAGAATTCCGGCTTTGTTCTTTGTATATTAATGAATAATGCCCTTGTGTTTTTCTTACCGGGGGTCAGCGTGTCCTTCTGCTTTACTGTGTAAATGCAGTGATGAATCTTAAGCTACCTGTGTTGTGCTGTACATTCATTGACATTGGAGGTATATCACACGTGTTGCAAGAAGACGACCTTGCAGTATTTCGGTAAGATAGTCACATATTTTCCCGGCCTTGTGGTTAACGATCCTGCTTCATATTTCCTAGGTCCTGGGTTGAAACCTCGGCCAGTATACCGACTATCTTGACTGATTTTTTTTCGTGGTTTTCCTAAGTCCTACGAGGCAAATATCGGGATAGTAAATTATCTTTTGCCACCACCGCGTCCATCCACGTCTCTTTCAATACGTTGTTTATTAATCACCATATTGCCTAACGTTATGTAGTCTGAGATACAGAAAACGTCGTTGTTGACATGAAGATGGATTTATCCTGGCGGTCATCTTGATGATTGGGGCGGTGAGTGTCTCTGAAAAGTCTGTATATTTCTATCAGACTACAAGGCGCAACTACTGAGTAGACAGCGAACTTTATACTTACCATCTTGAGAACCTGAATTTATCTGTGTTGTATGTAGCTATATTACGTGCTTGATCCATTCATGCTACATGTCCATCCATTCCCATTTAACGAAATCACTGTAACAATACTTTCTAGGTTAAAAATACAGGTAATAAAACATATTTCTTTTGTTCTTTCTAACATTAATCTTGTCTAACAGTTGCTTTCATTCCCCTTTAATAGATTTTCAGTAGTCTATATGAGATAATTAATAGTTCTTACATTTTAAACGTATTATACCTTCATTGATCTTGCACAGTATACACGAAAGCAACACAAAATGTTTTCCACTTCATATAGGAGTTGAATTATTGAAATCAGTTATGCCTTGGCGACAAAAAGAATTTTGAAATCTCCGGAATCTTTGCTGCGCTCTGACGGAAATTAACTGTCACCTGGCACTAGCCTCGAGTCGTTCTCGTACGGACTTTTATTAATACCGAGTTTCTTTCTATTATTATCTGTAGTTATGTAACCTCTCAACCTCCTGACATTTGGCTCCATTTGAACTTAATGAGTGCTTAGAAGAGAAACGGGAATCAATATAGCGTTCAGGCCGATTCCGACAGTGGCTAAGGCCGCATCGAATACTTTCGGAGCTTTTGTTTTAATGAATGGGCGTCCTTACACAAAGGAGCGTCTGTGATTCCTTCACGTTATGAAAATATGTATTTATTTCAAAGTTGCGTGAGATTTTTAGAATTTTGTATGCTGGAGTTACTGTCCGCGACTGTAATCTTGAGACTTGCAAGGAATGCAGGAAGTCCTCACCCCCCCCTTTCCGAAAGTCTCAAGATTACAGTCGCGAACAGTATAATACTCATCCGAAACTCTTCTGGAGTTTGTGGTTCGGTGTTACTCGAGCAGTACAAATCAATTAAAAAGCAAAGTTACCCAACTCCAAAAGCCCATGTTAGCCACCTCATTTAGGCTTACATTCCCTGTCTGTTCGCGCAGTAGCAGTTAGAAAAGACACGATATAATGTTGGCATGGGGGGAGAAGGGACTGCATGACGTTCCAAGCTAATATGTTAGCTAGTCTTCGACTGCTAACATGCTCGTTACTTGCTTGAGTGCTGGCTTTCGACGTAGCGCTCTTGCGTGGTATTTGTTGTACGCCAAGTTCTGATTTGTCATCGTGCATCATGGTCTGGATTTTGGCCAAAACTTTTGAAAAAAGTCACATTCAGCCACTGACATGCTGTGATTGGCTCGTCTCGATCTGACTTGGATAGTGTGTACGATGGGATTCATCTGCGCCGTAAAATGACTTTTATTTACTTTCCATTATCTAAAGATTTTCCAATTATCTATATTTTTGTGAGCTTTGTCTAGCGTGCAGATATGAATTAACACAATCCGGAATTTTGTTATCTGATGCCAAACCTTTAGTCTGCAGCTCGTGATGTAAGATAAATATAAAGCAAACCACCGTAGTCCTTCTTCCTGAAAACAAAGTCGTTAAGGTAATTTATTTTGCTAAAATGATTTAGACACTCGAAAGGCGACTGAATGTAATTTTTACTTGTACAGCGTTCATATATATGAATGCTATATTGTCGACTAATTTATTAGCTGTCCTTAGGACACTGGAATATTAAATGTTTAGTAAGAAGATGATTTCCCACTGTTCTTTCCTTGTTGATATCTGACATTTTTGTTTGTTGGCAAGGGGATAGGGAGTTTCTTGTTGGATTTCTTGTATGTGTATACACAAATAATCAGAAAAGTCTTAAACGAAGAAACATCTAATCACATGTATCTTTGGATGGAAAGTTGATATTAATTTGAATATTACATAAAGCGGATAACGTATATCGTTATTTGTTATGGAAACATTTCTCGGAGAGTAATTTATATAATGCAGACTTCGCAGTGTTACGTATTTGCCACGTGGATTTCAATGCGACCTTCCTATTCGCTGCCTCTAGGCTTTTGTCATACAGGTTTCACTTTTTAATAGAACTTACGTATTTGTTTGTGCTTCAACGAAGGAACTGCCTCTACCTGCTACCGCCTCAAATAACTTCAGGCCTATTAAAAAAAGACTACGATTCTGGAAGCCATTGCAGATAGCGTTACTTCTGAAAACAAGGACTTCTTGAAAAGTTGACGTTTATTTTGCTGGTTAAGAAATTTGAATTGTCTGGGACTTAGAAGAATTTCTTGGGATCTCTGAATCGGGGGGGGGGGGATAGATAGATTGGCGTTATTTAAGAACAAGCTTATAAGACATTGTTTGTAATCAAGACAAAGGAAGTATTATAAAAATGGAGAATATTGCGTAACATGGACCTTTGTAATGTGTACTGTTGACCAGTAATACAAATAAAGGCATGAGATAAGCAGGAAATGCATTACCCATACATCTCTACTTGTAGAGGCCTTCAAGGGTCGAAATTTTAGAATTTCACTTGACCCAGCCCTAAGAGCATTTGGCTCCAGCCCGAAGTTTATCTTCAGATATTTTGCCCGTACCCGACCGAAGCCCGACTTCTTCTTATTCCAGTACGATTGAAGGTCGATGTATTTACAAACTGCCCTGGCTATCGTATCAATAATACATGTTTATTTTAATGCATAAATTAAAGTAATCCTTGAATGAATTATTTGACTACACTGCATAAACTTCTGAGGTTATTTTGGCGTTTGAGGAACGGTTACAGAGATATCGGATGCTACATTTGTAAGGTATTATCTCAAACTATTTCTGGTAGGGGCACCTACGAATTTCCCTGAGAACATCAAGTCGGTGGGATTTGTTTCCCGAGCCCAACTGTGCGGTGCCTGAGGGCCACACCTGGGCCTGTGCAGACCTCTATCCTCTAGTGCTGGAATCTGGTGTTCCCCTTTTGTTTGGAAACAGAGTGCTATGTTACCGAGTGGACTGTTGGGACATGGTCGATAAATTATTCGATCCCTCGGAAGAGAGAGAGAGGGAGAGAGAGAGAGAGAGAGAGATTGTATTTATCGACTTAGTCACGGGTGCCAACATTTTTAGTCATGGAATCCCCTGGACTAGTTTGCCATCTAGTGGCGGTATCTGGAACTTCGCCCTTCTTCGTCCATAGACGCGGCAATCTTGAAATATATTGGGAATGTATTTTTGGTCTCATAGGCCCACTCTTTCATTGTTGGAACGATGATAACTTGAGAGACCTAAGCGTAGATGAGAAAGGAAATTGAGTATGAAGGTGTAGACTGATATTATGGCGGGCTATTGTGAACACGGTAAAAACCTATTGGTTCCAATAAAATACCGGGAATTTTGTAAAATTTCTGAGTAAATAGAAGAAAATACATTGATGATATTAAAATGTTCTGGTTTTAGGCAATTGAATGTTGTGAGGGTCATGTACCTCAGTGTGGAGTGAGATTTTAATGAATATTCCACCCACCTGATTGGCATATTCATCGCCCTGATGACGGAGGCAGTAATGACCTCTGAAACGTTGGTAAACATCGCCCAGACTACACAGCGCAATAACCCAGAAGACAGAAATCTTCATATTTTTAATCGCCCTGATGACGGAGGCAGTAATGACCTCTGAAACGTTGGTAAACATCGCCCAGACTACACAGCGCAATAACCCAGAAGACAGAAATCTTCATATTTTTAATCGCCCTGATGACGGAGGCAGTAATGACCTCTGAAACGTTGGTAAACATCGCCCAGACTACACAGCGCAATAACCCAGAAGACAGAAATCTTCATATTTTTAATCGCCCTGATGACGGAGGCAGTAATGACCTCTGAAACGTTGGTAAACATCGCCCAGACTACACAGCGCAATAACCCAGAAGACAGAAATCTTCATATTTTTAATCGCCCTGATGACGGAGGCAGTAATGACCTCTGAAACGTTGGTAAACATCGCCCAGACTACACAGCGCAATAACCCAGAAGACAGAAATCTTCATATTTTTAATCGCCCTGATGACGGAGGCAGTAATGACCTCTGAAACGTTGGTAAACATCGCCCAGACTACACAGCGCAATAACCCAGAAGACAGAAATCTTCATATTTTTAATCGCCCTGATGACGGAGGCAGTAATGACCTCTGAAACGTTGGTAAACATCGCCCAGACTACACAGCGCAATAACCCAGAAGACAGAAATCTTCATATTTTTAATCGCCCTGATGACGGAGGCAGTAATGACCTCTGAAACGTTGGTAAACATCGCCCAGACTACACAGCGCAATAACCCAGAAGACAGAAATCTTCATATTTTTAATCGCCCTGATGACGGAGGCAGTAATGACCTCTGAAACGTTGGTAAACATCGCCCAGACTACACAGCGCAATAACCCAGAAGACAGAAATCTTCATATTTTTAATCGCCCTGATGACGGAGGCAGTAATGACCTCTGAAACGTTGGTAAACATCGCCCAGACTACACAGCGCAATAACCCAGAAGACAGAAATCTTCATATTCACCGCTGTGAAAACCTCAAATCTTACATGAGATTTTAATGTTTCGAAGACTGCCCTGGGATAACATCTTAAAATACACCACTATCGCCCTGCTCATTTTTTCCCACAATTTATTACTCATTGTCATTCTATGTTATATAACCAGCACGGTTTAAAAGTCGTCTTTAAATTAAGAAACAAACACAGAAAATGATAAACTAAACTTCCGCCAGTAACGGTGGTAATGGGTTCCCTTTCTACAGTGAGGAATGGAAAATGTCGAAATTATGCCAGGTTATACTCACATTATTACTTTGCGCCATATTACTTTTATATATTTACTGTTTACTGAAAATTATGACTGTACAAACTATTGCTTTTTTGTTGTATTATATAAACACAGTTTTATAATGTTGCAAGCGATGTTGCCTAATCGAAATGACATTATTACTTTGTACCATATCATAATAACAGTTTGATTTACTACGTGCAGGAAAATTATACGGCGTTACATTATTTACAGACTTATGTTATCCCACAGTATCTGTACTGCATATTAGGTGTTTTCACCTCCTCCCCCCGTATCTGTGATGGTGCGTGGGTGTGAAGATCCGCCCATATTGTGTTTAGTGGCGTGTAATTTGCGAAAACCACAAAGCGAATGGTGTGTGCTAATTCTGTATACCTTGTCTAGTTGTGGCTAGTTTGTTACACCCATGTGTCGTGGTCTATCCAGTTTGCCTGGAGGTCAAAATATTTTACTCACGTGTTAAAAGGACAAATAGTTTTTGCGCTTTCTAGGTTTTTGTGTATAATACCAAACTATGAGGGATGTGGGAGAATTATTGAACCTCCCCCATAAATTGAAGGTTGTAGGAAAATGAATATTACAACTCCGTAACATGAAATACTACGCTACTTAAAAAAGGTGAATGTCTGTAGTCTAGCGAAGGACATATATTTCCCAAGTACGTGCTTTGTGGTATTTTATATTTTTCAAATACCTAATTGAACTTGATTTGATGCATTTCAGATACAGACAGACTGTGAAACTAATTATGCTACAGATATTACGCTACAGGAATTCATCAGATATTGTCCTTTATGTTTTGTAAAATATTCGCCATATTAAACTCCAGAACTTCAGGGTTGAAGTTGTAGACAGTTTGTTTCAACGAAGCGTTGGTATCTGCCTACAAGTTTACAAAGCACAAGACCAACATCGGCTCCAGTGGTTACTGGTTTGGGGAGGGGTTGTTTCGAAGTCTTGCCATGACATAATGAGGAATCAAACCCCTGTCGTACAGCTCGTAGCCAATAACTTTACTGACTAATGTCGGGAACACTTTGCCGAATTTACTATTCTTTTAATTCCATTACGAACCACACAATTTAACAGTATTAAAAATGTTGATCTTGAAACAATATTATAGTGTGCAAAACTTGGATCATATAAATAGAACAATAACACTATTTGTCTTTGAATAAAGTATAATTTACAATTTGGCATCACCGTTGCACCAGTGATCGTGTCGTCATCAATATAACACATGGCTCAGGGTTTAGTGTGGGAGGATAAACGAAAAATGGTATTAGAATACTACGTTAATATCTATCGTAATAATTAATTGCGTTTCCCGGATTTAATCACCATGGTCTCTATAAATCATCGTGCTGCCCAATGACTACAGTCTGTCTATGTTTCCCACACCCGCCGTTCCCATTGATTCACTCGGAGCTGGCACAAGCTTTGCAGATTCCACTGTCTGCATGCAAAACTTATTTGAAGTTCGTCTGGTTTTCTTAAGCGGGGTAAAACAAAAAAACTTTTACTTCTTGTGTGAAGGTTATTCCCCGTTGTATAATCTGTATTCTGTGTGAACATCTTTTGATCGATTCATCGATTAGTAGGTTTGGCTGGAATTAATAAGTAATCCTCTGATGTAATTTATGATTGCATTAATTTTGAGATTGCTCTTGAAGTATGGTCCGGCGTCACACTGCGTATTCTCCATTTACCAGTGCATGCAATCGATGCAAATTCTCTCGGAATGGACATGTGTTTACCCTTAACTGTTTCTATTTGTTCTAAATCCAGTGTTTTTGTTTTTACCATCGTGCGCGAGATATAATATTTTTCTAACATGAAATAGACTCTGAAACGAACTTAGGCATGTCTGTATTACATAATTGTATGTTAACTAACATGGCTTATAATGCTCTCACGAGAAAAATAACTTTCGAACATTTATCATAAGTTGACGGCAAAAGATATCTTGGGTTGAAATTCGGGTTCTCACGGTCGTGGATCTTTTGAGATGTTATGCCTTGTAGTGTGGTAATAGTTTACCGACGTTTAAAAGGTACTGCGTGTCTCCATCATCAGGGTATCATAACATCCCAGAAGACGGTTATGTTAGAAAAAAAATATAGGTTTTATTTTTATTGAACCGTCACCCAGAAAGAGAACATTATCAAATACAAAAAAGCAATGCCATCGCTATAGCAGAGGAGTGTGACAATATAGGTAGATGGTTCTCTAATTGAGGTTAATATGTCGTTCAGCTGATGATCCTTGCTAATAGGCTGCATTAATGTCGTTTCCATAGTAACAGCGGTTGCTATTGACCTCGCATACTGTTAGCGGTGGAGACAGAATTACTCTTACAAATTATGTCAATGAGGCATGAAAAGTTTAATTACTTTTAAAATTAATATGATTTCGTGTTATTATTGACAGACACATATTAAACAACACAGAATACGTATCGGGGTTCTGAACTCCATTCACTACTTGGCATACCAGTTTAGTGACACAGTCATTTACCGTATACATTTCAGCGCAAATGTTGTTGTAATTGAATAGCACTCAGCAATTTGCATTATTTAGTAATGTGAATAATCCTTGTATTTATTACAATTACATGGGTCGGAAGAGTTACTTCTGGGCACAAAGTTATGCTGGGATACAAAACCCTGCATACCCCACTTAGCAAAAGAAGATGATTATGTTATGATGAAAATGAACAGGCGTGTTCATGCAACTTGTGATGAGAGTGGTCCATTACTGTTAATCAGAAGACCACGTCCTGTGTTCCTGTAAAGCCGAGTTAACCAATTACTATGTCCCGTGCCAACCAGTAGCTAATAGTCTTCAAAAACAACATGAGTATAGCCTCACTTCAAGTTGTTTTAAAGGAGGGCGTACGTTAGAATTTCGTAATGTTGTGTTTTGTTTTGTAACTACACTACAGATACAAAGATATATCCAGCTGTCTGGCTATAATTGCAAATTTATAGACAGTTGTATGAAGTTTTATACTAATCATCTAGGTTTTGTAGTTATTATAAAAGCGGAACTTGGCTGTGTTCGTAATTACATTACTTGTGTGTGAGTCTGTCTGTCTGCCTGGTGCCTCTGTCGGTCAGAACTGCAGAGAAGAGCCACTGTACCCATCCAATTCTCTTGACATGCGCGGAACAGAAGTTCTATGAGCAGGGACAATTTTAGTATTTTATGGGCGCTGGGTTTTAATTAAGCAAACACAATTTCGTATCCGATTAATTGTTTATGTGTCTGAAATATTGTACGTCAGTTTTTCGTTGTTACCATTGTCATAAATTACGAATAGGAGCGTGGCACCATTCTTTGTAATGGAGGAGTTAGGCTTATTTAGATTTCTTACGAATGGATAATTATACTATTCATTTAGGATCACAGCTGATTAGATATTTGAAATGAGGCATGAACGTTTTGGTTTTGTATTCCCTGTATGTTATGAACTACCTCATTGACAAGCTTATTCAGCAGGTAAAGAAATTCCGGAAGGTTTATTACTGTGTTCAGACCTTACCTGAGTTGTATTAATTTAGCCCACATTGCAATGTCTTGTTTCATGAAGATCCATTTTAATATTATCTTCTCATCTATACCTACGTCTTCCAAGTGGTCTCTTCCCTTGAGTTTCTCACCTCCGATATTGTTAACATATTATTAAATTGTTTTAATTGTTTGTAATTTACAAAGCTGTCAGGAAGGATCATTTGCCATAGAATATACGTGATCAGGTTTAAGAACTTTGCGTTACCTTTTATTTTGATGTTATGTACCCATCCCTGTGTTTTATCACTCCTAGAAAAACTGCTTGTTAATACTTTACACCTTAGTTATCTGTTATGTTACTCTGCGCGAAGGAGTTTGGAACTTTTCCTGCTGTTATACAAATTATAAACTTCCGTGTCGCTCTGACCCAAACTACTTGTTAAAGCTAATTTTTACGCCTGGAGTTACATCTTTTGAGAGCGGGAGCTTTATACGTATTATCCTATAGCCCCTTGTATGCCTACTGTATTTCTGTGCTGGATAATTTCCGAATTTCATTCTGAGCCTTGATACTGCGTTACAGTTCTCGGTAAAACTACTTAGATATTTGTTCTGAATCCCCTGCACGCCTTCACGCTGAAGATGTGAATGTCATCGTGACCATTATGCTTATCAGTTGTGTGAACGCCCTGTGTTTTATTCAAGCGGCCTATCACGTGACCGATTAGATCAGGAGCTTCTGTGGCCCTGCAGTAAAGTTATTCGATTTACACTTTGATACCCTGGACTCCCTGTGCTGGACTCATATGATCTCACTTTATACTATAATTACATAGATTATGTAGTTTGCGGACTTGTGTTTAAATAATGGGTCTGTTTGACCTATAGGTTAATTTTGAACAATTAATTGTACTTTTTGTATCTTATATGCGTCATGTTTGTGTTTGATTAAATATATTTATTTTGTACAGTCTATACACAAACGTTTGAAGTTTATTGGTGTTGTAAAAATTATATAATATTAAAACATTAATAATAATATAATATTTTACACAACAAAATGTTTTAATATTATATAATTTTTACAACACCAATAAAATTCAAACGTTTGTGTATAGACTGTACAAAATAAATATATTTAATTAATTGTACGTTACTTTAAATTACTCATTCAAATTAAAAGACGGCAGATAAAATATTGTGAACAAGGGAAGGGAATATAATTTGGACTTACCATGTGATACTTCATTAGAACTGATCCAAAAGAAGGATTGAGTGATGTCTTCGTCGCAAATTTCTTTCAGTTTGTGGTGTTCTGCGCCGTGTATGTAGTTAGCAGTGTTTCGGAGAAAACTATCTCTTATATCTTCAGACCAAAATATGAATGCTATACGTTTCTCAGAGACATTCATTACCACTCACGTGTCTGCACTGCGAGGCAATGGAATCTAGAAGGCCGGTCGCCATATACACTGCTTTGAGAACGCCATATTTCAGATAAAATTATACTCTTAACTTTTATTCACTTTTCCTTCCTGATATTTTGTATTTCGTTTCCCTTCATCTAACTCCATGTTATGTAATATATTTTGCAGTTGTTGCTTTTAAATTGTTGTTAATTAATTTCATATGTAATTATTTCTTATTCTCTTTACACCAAGGGAGTGTTGCGAAATATGTTCAAAGGTTAAGAATATGTAAATTGAAATCCAAAGTCTTTCTGTGCCTCGTGTGTGTGAAGTTTAAGAATCCTGTATTCTTGTGTACTGTCTCCAGGTTCTTGCAAGATTTGTTTCGTAAACTGTAACCATTAGTTACGGTGTTATTGAATACTTTTGCTTCGTTACGTACCTTACAAATTTCCTCTTACCAGCCATTCACGGAATCTTAGCAGTTTCTGCCCCAGCCTTTCTCAAAACTCGTGTTAATTTACAAAAACATAGATTCCGTTTTGGATATGTAGCATTCGTAAAATATGCTTTTACCGTAATGAGTTTCTAAACAGATTTAACAGCGTTATTGTAGAAGAACAGTTCCTGTCCTTAGTTTCTGAAGCCGTTGTTTGTGTTTCTCCACAGCGCGGCCGACATAAAATGCTGTCAGCGATTACCGGGAAATTTGTGTAGGAAAATGTTACCTGATTGGATAGAACGGCTTGTAATGAGACTGTTAATGGTGGGAAGAGCCAGTCTAATTAGACCGTATCTCGTCGTTAGAGTGAGTGAGATTGTTCTTTAGAAAGACACGAAGAAGCATTTTGGAACAGTTTAAAAGGATTTTCTTTTTTCTTTTCTCTGTTGGTTTGTATTTAAAGAAACTTTTCAGTAACCCCGCTTTTATTGACGAAATACGACTCAGTTAATTCTAACAGTTGAGACACGGTAGGAAAGGTATAATATATGAGTCACATTTAGACAATAAATTAGGCACTTTTAAGTACTGTATCATGCATGTAGCATGTAAAGTATTATTAGTTTGAATTACCGATTAAATTTAAATACTTGCAAGTCTTAAAATATGAAATGTCTGTCTTGTGGGATATTGCGTTATGTAATGTGGTAAATATCGACCGACGTTTCGGAGAAGCTTAACAGATATCCAATGGAAGCAAGAATATTCCTATAAATGAGAATTTTATGAACAGTTAAAATTAAGTAAAGTTTTGTTATTCAAATTAAATGTTTGTTTTTAATAACGAAAAAAGGTGATAGCTGTGAAAGATTCTGAGATGTTAGATAATTTTAGTTTATCAAGAAATGGGAATAACGAAGCTAATTGGTCAGGTAAGTAAGTACTCAGGATAACATTTAGTAAATATCTTGGGATATCTGAATGTTCTGAAAGCTATTATATTTAGTAACTTTTTTCAATAACGAACTGTCGTTGTTAAACAAGAATTAATTATAAATCTAAATGTTTGTGACGGGGAGTGTTGTTAACATGACACATGTTTTGTACCTTTTTCACGGTTTATTTTATTTTATTTTTTGATAAAACACGTCTCGGAAGCCAGAGCATTCTTCCGTCATCAGGTAGCAATGTGGAAGCTGTGGGTAGCTACGCTACTCTGTTGTGCGAATTAGGTGGATCTAATGGGGGGGGGATAGAGATTCGATTTAAGCGAACTCATTCATCCTTGTGTACACAAAGTCAGGGAGAAGCTCGAATTTGGCCTCGTGCCTTTGTACACCACAAAGACAAGGCGCGAAGGAGGGAAAGGGGCATACGTACACATATACGCAACTCGTTTCCTTAAAATAAAATATTTACCTAATCTTCCTCTGTAAATTAACCTACATTTAATGTTTCTACAAGTTATACGCAAACGATCCTCTGCGGCTTAACATTAAATGGCACTGAAGTGAAATCTTGTGCGATCATTTCAGTGAGTTCCTAATATAAGATTTGCACTTTAAATTGAATTTACTTGTGCCAAAATAATATATTCACATTGGCGGTAGATGTATTCTTTTATAGTTTGGTTTTCAGGGAGTTCCTTTTTTAAAACCAAACATTCTGTGCTCGTAATGGACTAAAGTGATTAGTTTCACGTCGCTTTTCCACAGGGTGAAGATTCTTTGCGATCTATCGAGTAGGAGTCTTGATACTGCCCCAGGGTCACTGTGGCCGTATTAGCAAAAAAAACAAAAAAAAACAAAAAAAAACAAAAACAAAACAAAACTGTAGTTGTATAGAAACGAAGTCAGATTATCCAGCCCAGTTATTGTTATGCGTTATTACACGACGTTCATGAAAATAATGCATATAGGGCTGGCCACATCTGTCTGTACGTCAGTCTATCTGTCCACATGATTCAACTCGAGGATTCCTGGACAGATTTGAATTAAATATGCTTTCGACGTCATGCAAATGGTATGTGTTCTAAAATAGTACGTTTCTGTTTCCTATAATTGACAATACCAACATGGCGGAAGATCGAAAATGTGTTACAGAATGATGTGAGGTTTTATATTAAATTAAGCTAGGGTAGGTGAGGACATGTTGGTTAGGCTAGGTTGGGATAGCAATCTGTTAGTACACTAATGCGGACGATAGTGATTTTAATGATCACACAGTAAAAAATGACAATTTTTTTAAACATTTTATTTCTGCTAGGAGCATTCAGAGTTCGCAGAGATCACGTGTTTGTATTCCGGTACGGACTACACGTATCCAGTCTTGTTTACTTTGCACCAGCTGAACTACGTACATCGCGCAACGCTTACAAAATGAGAAGTTTGTTTGCTGCTGACAAAATAGACAACAGCAAACCGTTTTCTGGGTGGAAATAACTTACTCCTAGAATTACCGCGTTACCATACCGTCGGATCTTTAGCTGTGCAGCTGCCACGTGGAGAACAATGGACGTCAACTCTCTCGTAAACTTCATCTTGAAGTACAGTACCTGAAAACACAAAACACACTGTCTCGTGCGTTTGACATATTCCATTTACATGTTTAGCTTACATAAATTTGCTTAACAAGTGTAAGAAAAATAATTGTTTCTATTGTACAGGATGTCCAGAAATTACTTGACAAGCGTAGAGAATTTTCGAGTCAGGAATATACTGTAATTCCGAAAAGTGTACGTTCATATGCACTGTGTTAAATGCAGAGTGATTACGTTTCAAGTAAATGATAGATATAGTTAATACAGTTTAATTAAATTTATAGATAATTTAAATGTGACCTTTTTCTTTCGCAGATGATGTGAAATTTAGACAGAATGTCGACCAACCCCTGGATCAATGGAAGCATTCGGTGTGTGCTGCGCTGTTTTGAGGATTTTCTGCGAATTAAGGTAGGAAATTACAGTTGTTTGAACGAGAGTATATTTATAAACAGCATGCATGTTATAGTTAATGCCTCGTTATTTTTAGTGAAGTTGAAAACTGCCATACCCTATTCCAAGAAAATATAATTACAATGCCGTTTGTTGAACTTAAAACATGTAGATTTTTTATTTCTGGAAAACAGTATAGGCCTGCTACAAATCGCGTAGGAGAGACATAAATGTTGAAATCGGAGTCCCGACTATTTTCAAGCCTTTGATCTGCCACCTGTTAATTGCAATCGGACGTTTGAAGCAACTAGAATTTCTGCGGTTTACATGTCGCGGGAGGTACCTCAGGCGATAACGTGACCAACTACGAAATTGGATGACCGGAGTTCACTCCGCGACGTAGACAGAGGGATTTTACCTATCATCACTTCACGCTATGTCCACACTGGTTTTTTTCTCAGTTTTGCTCTATCTCTGTCCCCCCTCCCCCAATCGTCAAATTGGTATTAGTGCCAAGGTTAAAACCTCTGGACCTTTAGTCCTACTTTCATATACGTCTTTATGGCGGGACGATGAAACGAAGAACAGGTTTTCCTTTATATTCGCTTCGTTTTAGTAGCTGATCAATTGTGCAACATACACCGAAGTTCCAGCTGTGTCCACTGACGTATGACGTTCATGTAACACTAGCCAAGCCATAGGCGTCCTTTTACGAACACTGCCCACTCTTCAGATTGGAAAGCTTTACTTAGCTTAGTGATTGCTCAAGTGTTGGACAAATGAATCATGCCTGAATTTCCCCAGGAAAGTATTCACCTTTCGAAAGTTTCTTTTCTTTACAAGAAGGGCTTTGTAGGATTTGATGTTTACACGGCTGAGTCCGTAGATGGCTGTCTTCTGGGTTGTTGCGCCATGTAGTCTGGTAGAATTTTACCAATGTTTCAGAGGTCGGTAAAATTCTACCAGACTGCACGATGTTACAACCGAGAAGACAGGCATCTTCAAATGTTTTATAGTCGCCCCTTGAGCAGCAGACAGATTTCATAAACCTTCCTCCTAGATGATGCCTACCCGATAACTCATTGCAACCGTCATCAGAGAAATACCGGCAATTTATAGGGATTCTATGGATCTAAATAATCGTAGTAGTGGTTTTGACTTTATGTCTTTCAGCTTATGAATAAGTCAACCATCTTCTGCTTTCAGAAAGTACAGAACATCACTGTCCATATGAATGTTAACATATATTTTGATTACTGAATGTTTCCTTGTAGACTTGTATCCGGGCGCTGAGTTCGATAATCCTGAACTTCGTTTCCAAAGTCTGTTGCTCAAATTAATTCCGTATATCCTCTCATGTAATACGAGATGATCATAAGAGTTGGATATACTGTTCGTGTCTTGTCTTATCCTGTTACCACGGCACGAAATTTCTGTAGAATATAATACCATATCTTCCTGGATCATCCGAATAAATGAAGGTGACATTGGGAAACAGACGTAATTCACTCTGTATGCTTTTGTTTCTTAGATATTCTGATGGTAATCTGTGTAAGGTTCGGTTGTTTTGTTGTCTTATTCTTCACCGTGTGTCCTTGCAACATAATTTAATTCTTCTTCATCTCCTCCGTAAGCTTGTATTTCAGTGTGTGGAGCAGTAGTTCTGAACTTTCGAAGATGATGTGGCATATTTACTCTCGAATCCTGGTGGGAATACAAGTCTGAGAGGCTACTATGGGCTAGGCAAGAATCTAGAATGAGGTAGACAAAACATGATGTGGATGTCACTTGGTAAATGTAATTTACAAGCCCTAGAAAGGAAGGAGAAGATGAAACTAATAAAAATCTTAATGAAGTATGTTTTGATGTTGGAAAATGTTTGGATCATGTCCATCGATGGGCTTTGGTACTACTATTGCTGAACCTTTTGGTTTTTGGAATTTCTGAGTCTGAAGTACACAGCAAATCAATCTCTCAGTCATTCACGGTTTCGATATAAAATAATAAATTGCTATTATTAGTAAAGTATTGAGCAGTTTACAAGGTTGCAAGGAAATAGAAATGAAAATTGGTGAATTAAATTTAGGATTAATTACCGCATATCATCAGACACAGTTGTGATCAACTTGAAACACCGAGTGCTGATGGATAGCTTCATTAATCACGTTGAGTGCATCAGTGAAAAATGTATTCCTGGTCAGGGATCGAACACTCGACCTGCTGTGTCAGAACACTCGCTTCATCATCGGTGGAACGCGTGATGACAGTTGGATATAACTTCAGAATACTGAAATGTGTTCATGGCTCTTTGTTCATTAGTGGATTTGTCCCCCACGTTCTTCTAGCCATTAGACGATTGTCCTACGATTTTCCAATAGATGTTAAAATGCTAGGTTATTTTTGTTTGATAAGGGATTCTGCATAGTATGAAGTGGAATGTACTTTTATTATGGAAATTTAAAGTGAATTTCAAGATGAGAAGTATAAGTTCCCTTGGCGTAAAGTTTTCTTGAAAGTTCCACGTAAGCCGGCAAATTTATTTAAGAATACTTAGAGAACAGTCTAAGCATGTGTAGAGAGACTCATTAGATTGATATTTCTCTCCCTGAAAATCGACCTGAAATGGCACTAGAATGTTTTAGTTCCGACAAACAAAGACGCTTTGGTATAAGCAGACACCTTCTTGCATGCAATATATATATGCTCGAATGACAAGCATAATTTTGTCTAATTGGATTACGGTGTTACGTTAGTTGCTGTAATTCTAAACATGTACGTGTTGTTTTCTTTTCTTTCAGGATATATTAAATCATAAAACAAGCTGTATCACAGTCATCATTAGCAAATGATCTTTTTCAAATTACTCCATAATTTAGCTACTCATAAATTATAGCGTTGCATTAGATTAGTTTACATGCAAATTTCATTTTGCTCTCCTAATTTATACAATTTGCCAGCAAGTCCTAATTCACGATAATGATTGCTTTCAAATTATTCTTATTATTTCAAGTTGGCAGCAGTGGCCATGTAGCTTTAATGTGTTTTGCTGCAAAGAGTTGACATTTTAGTTTTGAATTCAGTAGAATGCCAGATTCCAAGGTGTGTGTATGATCTAAAAGATGGAAATTCCCAAGAGAACGTTTGTATGTCGGAAATATGAAATAGGGTTTTTAGCTTGGTAGAGATAAAACAGGTCCGTTGCTTACCTTCATCCAGAGGTCTGCTCCGAAAATGTGTGCCTACGATTTAGAAGTTAATGTGCCTTGTGGCTGCAACTTTTTCAAAAGTTAAGTACGCCAACGACCCACGACAAGCTTTCCTGCTTCGCCTCTTACTCTGCTTTGTTCAGTACAAATTCATTTCATAATTGTAAACAGAAGTGGGGCCCAGTCTTCAGGAATGATCACAAATTAGATGTATTATGAAAAACTCAAGAAATATTATTTCTACGTAAAAGAAACATAATCAGTTGACAATATGGCTGCTCTATCGACTGAATTACCAAGAAATAATAAAATTTACCGATATCAATTTTTGCCTCGCATCGCATTTTGAACTACTTCTGCTGGTGGTGATGTACGTTTATTTGTTTATAATTTTTAACGACTCAAGAGTATATAGCATCTAATGAAAGGATGTGTAAGGAAGCAGTCATATCCAAATTTAAGGCAATATTCTGGCATTTTCCTGGAGGGACTTGGGAAAATCACAAAAAACCCAGTCATGTTAGCCGGACTCTGGGCCGAGATTGGAACCCAGAACCTCCCGAATACGAAGCAGGAGTGTTAACGACTCGACCACGACGTTCGGCGTAAAGTGCGATGGAATCCGAAAGATGAAATTCTTCCGAAATCCCAAGTTCTCGTATGTCACGGCTGCTGATGCAGCTTTTAACAGTGGATTGTTCTGTATTTAGAACAGCACAACAGAGCGAACATTTCAGTCTGCTTGTGTTGTCACACGCTGAGAGACAGAAATGGCTCTGAATAATTCATCAACAGTGTGACCGCTTGCCTTCCCAGAAAGCGACGCTCCGATGAAAAACACGCCGATAAATATTCTCTGGTTGTTGTAGCTAGGTTTCCCTTTCGCAGGAGCAGATGGTTTTCTGTCTCTGCTGGAATCAGGACTCACACAACGTAATTACTTCATCGAATTGCGTAAAAAGTAGAATTACGGATTCTGCACATGTTTTAGCTCTGTTAGTATAGATTTACAAGGTACGAGTGTAAAGTATGTACAAATAAGTATTTTGGAGCAAAATATGCAATGTAGTTATAATGCGGAAACTGTTGGTTCATAGGACTACCGGCATGCATTATCTCAAAGAATACTGAACGGATTTCCGTAAAATTAGTACGAGGTATCTACATCAAGCATTGTTACGCGAATTAATTTGCTTTAATTTTGAATGGGTCCTGCATACGTCTGTTTTAAATGAAGCTCAGATCGCACTTATTATATCGGCATATGGACGTAGCGTAGTATAATTTTTATTTCATAACTTAAAATGCTTATTTGAATCATTTTTCCATGTAATGAATATTTTAAAAATACACTGATAAATTATAAATTTGCGCATTATGATTAGTGCCGAAACAATTTTTTTTAGGAACTTTTATTGTTTTTGGTTCGGATGGAATTGACAGTGTGAGTTTAAAACTACTTTTTAGCACTAAGACTTTGTCTTATATAAAAATACGCAGTGTGAATATCAAAATAAGCACTGTAAAACAGCCACTTTTTACTTCAGATTTTTATGAATTTATTTCTGAGTAAGAACTGTATACTTTTAAAGTATCTTCCACCATACAGAACTTCAGACCTACAAGTGAATAAAATTATTGTTATTCCAATCGTACTTGTTTTCGAGATGGGCATAAACGTATCGTTGAAGTAAAGTTAAAAAACGTGTCAGAAGTGGAGATGTGTAAAGCGGTTTGATGCTCATACGAGTTTCACGAAAATCGGGCCAAATAGTATTTACGTAATATTGACGTCCGTAGTTTAA